ATGGCCAAACAAATTGCGAAGCAGAAAATTTGAATTTTTTTTTTTGCACAGCAAAATAATTTTATTTGATGGAGTACAAGGGGTACTCCTGCCCATAGTACAAAAATAGGCAATCACTGAGCATTCACTGACTTTAGCAAATAAAACACAAGAGAATAAACCAGCAAAGGAAACAGCAGAAGTCAACTAACTGCTCAGTGGCAATATGAGGAATTCATACATAACAACAAAATAGACTTAATGAGTACCTCTTTTATCTTTGAGGCATAGGATTGGTTCCAGCATCCAATCGTGAAAGCTGAATGAGTAGCTCGCTGTCCTGCCCTTAATCCAGCTGAAAGCTCTTAATCGTGCCAGCTCAAAGATTTTGTCTGCCACATGCTCTTGATTTCTGAAAATCCTTACATTCCTTGCTAACCACAGTGACCATATGATGGAGAACCAAACCACATCCCACCCAGCTCTCACTGGAGGGTCTTTTACAGGGAGTTTTTGTTGTTCAAAATCATCAAGGCAATTCTTCGGATGGACTGAGAGGAACCTCCACCATTGTGCACACTTGCTCTAAACCAGAAAAGCAACTTTGCAGTGAATAAAAAGGTGATTGACATCTTCAATGCTGCCTGTGCACATATCACACATAATCTGGCTAGGGTCTGTTATGATTCCCCTCTTATAAAGGTTAAGCTTAGTAGGGATTTTATCCTGCAAGACTTGCCAACCGAATGCGCTGATTTTTGTGGGGATAAGTTTGCTCCATGTCCTTGCATGCATCTGAGTTCTGCTATCTTGGTTGTTGCTGGAAAGAAGGGCATATGCTGATTTGACAGAGTACTCTCCCTCTTTAGTGTGCCTCCATATCCAGCTGTCTTTGCGATCTTGGATTGGTTGAAAATGGTTGAGTAATCTTAGCATCTCAGAGTAGTTGTCTTCCTCCCACTCAAACAGTGGTCGTCTCCAGTTTAAAGTCCATAGCCATTTTGCTTCCCTCCATATTCCCATTTGGGAAATCCTCTTTTCCTTATCTGTTGAAACAAGAAAAAGTCTAGGGAACCGGTTAACAAGGGGTTGATCCCCTATCCATGTATCCATCCAAAAGTTGGCAGAATTCCCCTTTCCTATTTTCAATTTAAAACCTCCAGCTAGCCATCCCTCATTAGATGCATCAAGGTGATCAATCCTACAAATGTTTCTCCACCATAAAGAACTCCTATGGCTATACTCTTGTACCCATTTAGTCCACCTACCCTCTATACTCCCATACTTGTGATTGATAGTTTTGTATAACAACCCTTCTTCCCCTCTAGCGAGTCTACTCCACCATTTCCCCAACAAAGCTAGATTGAATTTTCTGAGGTCTTTCACCCCTAGCCCACCCATCAACTTATTTTTGCAAACTTTGTCCCATGAAACCCAATTAATCTTTCTCTTTCCTTCCCTTCCCCCCCAGAGAAAATTCCTACGAATTTTATCTAAAGAAAGGATCAAACCTTTTGGTAGCAGGTGAACGGACATGGTAAACACTGGGAGGCTGGACAACACAGCATTGAGGAGAGTAATCCTTCCACCAAAGGAGAGTAGCCGGCCTTTCCATGAACTCAACTTCTTCTCAAAATTCTCAATCAAGGGCTTCCACATAGAAGTGCTTTTAACATTGCCTCCAATTGGTACCCCCAAATACTTGCAGGGGAATACTCCTTCTTTGCAGCTTAAAATATAGGACATTTTTGACATCCATTCCTTTGATACATTCATTCCCAAGAGTTGGCTTTTCTGGATATTAATCTTCAATCCTGATGCCAGCTTGAAAATTCTCATTATGCTCTTTGCTGCCCAAATGTTACCCTCCGTGGCCTTACCGAACAGAATTGAATCATCGGCAAACTGAAGATGAGATATTATCATACCCCTGTTGCCAATATTGATTCCTTCAAATAGTCCATGATTGATTGCTGAAGAAATGATACCATTTAAACCTTCTGCGACTAGTAAGAATAAGTAGGGTGAGAGTGGATCTCCCTGTCTCAGGCCTCTATTGATTTTCACTTGTCTAGTGGCACTGCCATTGAGAAGAATTGACGTCTCTGCTGTCTTTAAGCATTCATTTATCCACCTTCTCCATTTAGAGTCAAAGCCCATCCTCGAAATCATGTAATCCAGGAACTTCCAACACACCTTGTCGTATGCCTTCTCGAAGTCTACTTTCAAAACAAAGCTGGCAATCTTATTTCTCTTCGCTGCATCAATTGTTTCATTGGCAATTACGATGCTGTCTACTATTTGCCTTCCTTTAATAAAAGCCATTTGACATTCACCGATGATATTGTCCAGAACTGAGTTGATTCTGTTCGCAAGGAGCTTCGCAATCACCTTATACATTACACCGATTAAGGATATGGGCCTAAACTCCTCGATCTTCTGGGGATTAGTAACTTTGGGTAGTAGCACGATGAAGGAGCAATTTGATCCTCTAACCAGCCTCCCATTTTTGTGAAAGTCGTCTACAAAACCCATCATATCACCTTTGATCACATCCCATATCTGTCTGATGAAGTTGAAATTAAAGCCATCCGGTCCTGGTGCTTTAGATCCTTCACAACTCCACACCGCTCGTTTAACTTCTTCTTCGTTGAAAGGGGCAAGCAACA